CATCCATGCATCCATCCACCCATCTCTCTCTCTCTCTCTCTCTCTCTCTGGTTGGTTGTCCGTCCGTTCACCCGTTCATTCATCCGCCCGTCCGTCTGTCTATCTATCTACTATGGAAGCCACACCAGGGCCCTTCAGTCCTGCTGTCCACTTTTGGCTGAGTTTTGGCTCAAGACTTCAGAACCAATTTTCATGGTGTGTGTGTGTGTGTGTGTGTGTGTGTGTGTGTGTGTGTGTGTGTGATGAACACGACTATATGTGCATACAAATGCCAAGATCCTGGGTGTTTTTGCCTGGTTTTGGATCATTGAGTGTTGCCCTGTGGTAGGGCCCAAGTGTGGATGGCATAGCTGCTGGGGAAGCCCTGTTCCTGTAACCAGCACATGTGGGTGGAGGCTCACTGTGTGATAGCCCAATGTACAGGGTGCAATGTGCACGCAAGTGGGCTCCCGGGTGGTGAGTGCCTGTGGGGGTGTCACTGGGGCAGGGGATGGCTGAGCTCACAGGAGGCCTCACGAAAAGGGGTTCGTTGTCATCGATGTCTTCCAGGGCCACCTGCAACGGCTGCATCGTCTCATAGGGCACTGGCTGGCCCAGGTCACTGGCCACCAAGATGAGCTAGAGTTAAAGGAACCCAGTCAGAGGGGAAAGATGGGATTGGAGGTTGCTTCCCTAGGAGAGGCTCGATGGACCAGAGATAGCCCAGGAGCCGCCCACACAGCCCCACTCCAGGCCTGCCCTTACATTGTACACTGCCTGTTTCTCACGGTCCAGGCGTTGAGCTGTCTGGATGAGGCCACTAACTGGGTCGATGGTGAAGTACTCCCAGTCACGGTTGCCTGCTGTCTTCAGGAAGCTGTAACGCACTGCCCCATTGAGGCCTTCATCCTTGTCAGTGGCATAGACCTCATACACATTGGAATGCAACGGGATCTCCTGTGGGAGTCATGGGAAGTGGGTACCTGGGCATGAAAAATCACAGAGCCAGGCCCTGACAATTTCTTGTATCCCTTCCTTGCCTCCTCAGCTAAGGCCCTCACTTCTCCAAGCCTCAAGCACCTGTATTCCCTTAGGTTTGGTCTATGGCATGGAAAAAAACCCTACTGTAGTCATACACCGACCTCTGCCCTAAGGCTGCTCTGAGGAACATGGTTCTTCTTGATGGTTAGAACACTTTTGCTGGGCAGTTTTGGCACACGCCTTTAATTCCAGTACTTAGGAGGCAGAGGCAAGTAGATCTCTGTAAATTCAAGGCCAGCCTGGTTTACAGAGTGAGTTCTAGGACACCTAAGGTTAGACAGAGAAACATTGTCTCAAAAAACCAAAAATTAGAAAAAAGAAAATAAAAAAAGAAAAAAGAAAAACCCACAAAACAAACAAACAAACAAACAAAAAACAACTCCTAGCTCATCCTGGCTTGATTGTTTTCTCATTGTTCACAACAAATAGAAGGTCTTCTAATTAATGAAGAGCAAGGTAATTATTTTATAAATGCTGTTTGTTCAGGAGACATTGATCTCCCGAAATGCAGAACCCGTGAAGGGAAAACTTAGCAAATGGAGCCTTTGGTGAGGAAAAGAATTAGCTTATAATTAATTTATGTCCCATCTCCTTTCTCAAAAAAAAAAAAAAAAAAAAAAAAAGATTTTGAAGCGGTTGACAAGAATATGTGAATTACAATCAGATTGAATGAATTTTTAACATTAGGGTACAGCCTAAAATGAAGGCCGAGGGCAAAGTATTTGTGAACCAAGAGTCTGCAGGGTCATCTGAAGGGGTTAGGCCACTGTGAGCTCCCTAGTGGGCAAAGCAAAGGGGACCAATGTATTAATGTAGGCATGACACCAGTCTCGGTGTTTCCCAGAGCTTGGCATTATTTTCTCCTATAGGGTCTCAAAAAGGAGACAAAATGACAAGATGGTCTCGGCACTTATGTCCTGGGATGTGAGACTTGCTTGAGTTTATGATACAAAGGACAGGTCAGAGAGTCAGAGATATCCCAACTGTACCAGTAAGGATCACCAGGGCCTTAGGGTAGAAGGGAAGAGCAGAAGACGGCACATCCCCCCTGACTGGGTGGCCAATGTGACAAGGGAATGAGAGGGCCTGAGCCATGCATTTGGGCATCAGCAGGGCCAGCAGACAGGCGGAAGTGCCTTGTCTTCACTTTGAACTGTGTCTGGGAGGAAGTGGGTGGCAGGAGACCAGATACTCCTTGGTCTGTGAAGAGATGATGTGTGTGCTATCATTAGTCCTATTCTCAGACGAAAGCAAGACACAAGCCACTTGCTCGTGGACATGTGGCTGGGTAGCCAGAGTTATACCTGAGCCCAGATCTTCTCCTAGCACTACCCACAGGACCAGCCAGTGTTCTCAATCTTTTCTGGTGGCACTGGGAAAGTCTGCTCTCCCCTGTCTAGCCTTAGTTTCCATGCTCTCACAATGGGGCCCTTCTACTCTCCCAGGTGATGAATGCAGGATGAGGCTGGGGGCTGGGTGTGGGAACTGAATGTCTGTGGCCGAGATAGCTGAGATGGTGAGATGGCCGGGGGCTGGGTGTGGGAACTGAACGTGTGTGGGCGGCGAGGCTGGGATCAGGGTTACCTCTCTGATGTGCAGAATGGTGCCATTGAGTGGGCGCACAAAGATGGGGCGGTTGTCGTTGACATCAATGACCTCCACCAGGAGCATGGTAGTGCCCCAGAGTGGGGGCTCCCCACCATCTGTGGCCACCACAGTCAGGTTGAACCTCTCATAGGACTGCAGTGGCCGCTGTGTGATCACCAGACCTGAGTCCATGTCCACGGAAAAGGCCTCTATCATTGGGAGAGAGCAAGGGATGGCTGGGCTGAGACAGCCTTCCCGTCCCCTTTCTTCTCCTCCCCCCCAGCCCAGGGCTGTAGACATGACAGCCTGACCCTCCCCACCCTTAAAGCCCTCCTGGGCAGCCACAGAAGGCCATATACCCATTCCAGGGCCCTCGAGAGAGTAGGTCAGCTGCCCGTTGGAGCCCTCATCCTGGTCAGTGGCCAGCATGGTGATGACTGAGGTGCCTGCTGGTTCATTTTCATATACACTCGTGCTGAACTGTGGTTTGGAGAACTGAGGCCGGCAGTCATTGACATCAAGAACCCGGATCACCACCTCGGGAGATCACAAGACAGTTAAAACCACGAAAGGGGCTGCCTTTAGGAAACCCCGTGACACAAGGGTAAAGTGAAGTAGAGAAAGGATGGCTACCACCCCCGATGAAAGGTGGTGTCATTTCACTAGTTTATGCTTTGAGACAGGGTCTTTGGGGCTGCCCTGGAGCTCACTCATTATGTCAGCCAGGTTGGCCTCAAGCTCGCAGGGCTCTTCCTGCCCCTGCCCCTCAAATGGTGCTATTAAAGGCACATGCCACTACACCCAAATGTACTGTTCATTTTTTGCGACGGGTCCTTAGGCTGGGGTGTAGCTCAGTCGGTGGAGTACTGGTGTCTTTGTAGCTAGCGTGCTGGGCTCAATCTCCAGCACTCTCTATGCCAGGCATGGTTGTATATGCTATAATTGTTGCACTTGGGAGTTCAAGGTCATCCTCAGCTACAAAGAGTTTGAAGCTACCTTGGGATGCATAAGAACCTGGAATTACAGCATCTCCAAGTCTGAGGCAGGAAAGCCTCTAGGACAAGGCCAGTATAAGCTATATTGCGAGACACTGTCTCAAAAACTGAAAAAAAAAAAAAAAAACAAAAACAAAAAAGGTAAAAAAAGGAGCCACAAGTGATGATGGCTAGTTAGTTTTTTGTTGCCATGTTTTTCTTTTGGGAACCTTGAGGTGCCGGGTTGTGAAGGCAGCCAGGTGTCACCTGGGCCGTAGGTAGGTGTGCTTGGCCATTCACGCAACATTTGGGAATGACAGGCTTCTCCTAGACAGTTTCTGCTTCCTAAAGCCACAGCCACGGAGACCCAGCAGTCAGCCTCCCTTCTTTCCTGCTACAATGCCTGAGGGGCTAGTGGCCCACCTAGAACAGTCATTCTCTATGGACTTGGCTTGCTGCCTCCCACCCTGGGCTTAGGCTGGTGCCCCTCACCTGCACTGAGTTCTCTCGACGGTTACTGGCCACATCCCCAGGATTGTCTTTGGCCAAAGCAGTTAGGATATAATGGTCCTTCTTCTCCCGGTCCAGAGAGGACAGCACATAGATGTCACCCTAGTTGGAGGACGAGGGTTTCAGGTGATTCATCAATTTGACATGTTTACTGAGCATCTACTATGGTCAGACATGATTGGAGTCTGGACTAACTCTCTGGAGAAAAAAAAACACACAGGTCTCCATGGTGTCCTCATTCTGGTGCTCTTCCTGCCCTCACCACCCCATTCTGTATGAGGTAGAGTGAGTAGCACAGGCTGGAGCCAACTGTCTGGCATTGTGGATTTAATCTGATAACAGGTACCATGGCTGAGTGCTCAGTTAGCAGGAGTAAAACCTCCTGAAAGGACAGTATGCAGAGAGGCATAGAGAGGAACAGGAGGTCTAGAAACCTCAGTTCCAGACACTGGGGGAGGTCCTGCTGACTATGCCTGCCCTTTGCAAGGCTGCCTCCTCATACTGACAAGAGCAGCTTCTGGACTAGCGAGCAGACATTTGACCCACCATCCCGTCCTTTCCTCTGAATTTCTACTCTCACAACAGGCTGGGGCTTATGGGGACCTGTGGGTCCCACTCTTTAAGGTACCTTTCCTCTCTCCACATTGAGTCTAGGGCCATGCATACAGCAGGTGCTCAAACAGCATGTACAGTGCCCACAGCGCTCCTCTGCCTCTTGTAACAGTCTCCAAAAGTCCCTGGACTTGTTTCAAGTTTTGGGTCACAGCCTGTCATACTAAAGGGCCAGTTCCTAAAGCCGGTGGCCACTTCTTTCTATTTGTACTGGAAGAGAAGGGGCCACGGTCTTAACACCTGCGGAGAGTTTGCTAACTTAGCTAAAAAGCCAGAGGGCTACAGATGTGACAGGACCCAGAAACAGAGGCATCTGGGATGCTTTTGATGTCTTTTTAGACCAGGACTCTGGGCTTTCCCACTCCCAGGGTCAGGCCCTCTACTGTCTGCTTACAGTGTTGGGGTTGATGGCGAACTTGCCCTCTCCATCCCCAAGGCTGTACTCAATGAGGGCGAAGTTGCCTGAGTCTGTGTCGGTAGCAGTGACCCTCAGGATGACAGTGCCCACAGCTACATCCTCAAAAACGGACTCCTAGAGGGGGGGGGGGGGCAAAGGATGGAGGGAGAGAGAAGAGGGGAGAGAAGGCAGGGTCATCCCTGGAGCCTACGCCCTGCCCAGGAATTCCCTAATGCAGTGAGACCCCAGGCAATATGCTCCGCATGCATTCCAGGGGTCTGTAAGGGGGTGAGTGGGAGTGGAAGGCAGAGCAAAGACCCCAAGGAATAGGTACAGGTCCTGACCCCCATGCTGGTCTGGCTACCTACCTGGTAGGAGGGCTGGTCAAAGATGGGGTTATTGTCATTAACGTCTACAATTTCCAGATAGACAGGGATCTCAGCTGCACGGGGCGGGGAGCCATTGTCTGAGGCCCTTACTGTGAAATTAAGCCAATGTACCTCTTCATAGTCCACTGTCCAGTTGGCAATGACCTTCCCTGAGACACAGAGGCACCCACTGATGACACGTGACCATTCTTCATCCTGGTCTCTCTACATATTTCCAAGGATCTGGGGCTCTGAAGGGAGGAGGGGTCCTTACAGGGTACATGAGCAGGTAGCACTGCCCATAGCAGGGCAGAGGCTGAGGAGGACTGCCATAGTTGTCCTCCTCAATGAAGAAGTAAGAAAGCTTCCTGTACTCCCTGGAATGAATATTAATGACCCCAAGACATCCTGAGACACCTCCCTGTCTAAGACCCTGCTCCCTAGGGGATGTGCTCACAGGGACTTGGGTGGGAGAAATGGTAATGGGGCTTACTAGGGTTCCAACAGGGATCTGTGGGCTTCCATCCCAGCCAGGACTGGAAAGTTCTATCCTCTGCTCGGAGAACTGGAAAATGACTGGCATGTCAAGCATCTTGAATCTCACCCAGGCCACCAAAGAGCAGGGGCATGGGGTGTCAGTAAGAGAGCCACAGTCCTGCAGGGGCCAACAGGCATGGATAGACATGGCGGCCTGCCACGTACCTGCCGAAGAGTCTTCAAGCCGGACATAGCCTGGTGGGGTGAGGTCCAGCAGGGTGTAGGTGATCAGCCCGTTGAGGCCCTTGTCGGGGTCGACTGCTGCCACAGCAATGAGTGTAGTGCCGGGGGTGGCCCCCTCCAGGACCCGCTCTGTGTAGTAGGTGATCCCAAAGGGCTTAAAGCGGGGCGTGTTGTCATTGACGTCCACGATGTTGACGGTGAGCTGGGCTGGGGTGCGGGTGGCCGTGAGTGCCGAGATGGACACTAGTGTCCCGCCCTGACGCCTGCAGCTCCCCACCAAGATCTGCTGCTCTGCCTTCCCCCTCAGAGCCCAGGGGGTCCAGGCTCAGAAGAGAGAAATGTCTCACACTATTTTGTTTTATTTTATGCGATGTTTGTGCTTGTGTGTGCGTGCGCGTGTGGGCAGGTGGGAGTGTGTATACATGTGTGTGCAGGAGCATGTGGGTGTGTCTGTGTGCACAGCTGCATGTGTGTGCACAGCTGCATGTGTGTGTGGGTGCAGGTTCGTGTGTGTGTGTGTTTCTGTACAGGTGCATGTGTGTGCAGTTATGTGTGTGTAGGTCATGTGTGTAGTTGCATGTGTGTGTACAAATGCATGCCCGTGCAAGTACACAAGCCTGTGTGTGTGCATGTGTGGGGAGGGCAGAGTCAGCCTCAGTTACTCTTGCTCAGGTCTGTCACTTGGCCAGAACTCACCAAAGTCGGCTAAAGTGGCTGCTCAGAAGAGTTCAGGGATCTGCCTGTCTCCGTCTCCCCTGGGATTTTTATGTGGGTCCTCATGCTTGCGAGGCAAGCACTTTACCAACCGAGAATCTGTCCTCACTCTCAGACTGCAACCGGCAACCTGTCCTTCTGATCAGGTCATCCACAAGAGGAGGGACTTGTATTCTACCAAAGAGCTGGGTGGCTCTGACGGAGCCCTTGGGCCTTCCAGGACCATAGCTTCCCAATAAACTTTGACAGCTAGGATGAAGATGGTCGCAGAACATTCCCCTGATCCATCCTTCTCTAGCCTAGCCCCCCTCCCAGTGGTATCCTCTCAGTAGAAGCAGCCTGGGCCTGTGACCTTAAAGTCTCATGTCACATAAGAGATAAACATGCACTTCGCTCTGAAAAACTCTGGGCTTCTGGGCTGTGAAGATAATCAGCCAGTGTTTGCCAAGCCCAGGTCACCCCAACAACTGTCCTTGTCTTATGGCAGGAGCCACTTGGGACCACCTCATTCCTGGACTCTTTCCACTGCCTGCTCTGCCTAGCCTGCTCAGTCCAGCCCATAATAGCTTCCCAGCTCATGGCCTAGGAAGATACACCACTGCCCCCTTCTCTGTCACTGAGCCTGCTGCGCTGTGGTCTGCGGCCTTGAGTTTCTTTCTTTCGCTCTTTGCTTCCTGTCCTGACTCTATGGTTTCCTCTCAGGTCATCAGCAGAGAGACAGTTCCTATCTCTTTTTTTAGCCACACTTTGGGTTCGGTTATTATTCTCTGCCACACTGCCTCCCATTCTTCCCTCCCAGGTCTACTCATTCTCTTCCCTGCTCAGAGTCTAAGAAACATTTAGTGAGAGTCATCCTGAGTCTCAAGATGGCTGTCACTTTCCTAAGATAGCCTGACTTGACTCCTCAGGTAGCTGAGCCCGGGAATTCCCTCCTTAGGGCCAAGCCTGTGCTAGCTCCTAGCCCATCCCAGTCCTCAAATGGCTCTGAGTGGTCAATAAGAGATGCCAGAAGGGAATCTTACCATTTGGCACACTGACAGACTGTTCTGGGAGGTCACTGGCATTGTCCATCACTGAGAGCGTGACCTCATAGGTGGCAACCAGCTCTCGGTTCAGGGGGGACTTCACCATCACAGACCCTGTGGGTGAGACCAAGTCAGATTCAGCTAGAGAGGGACCCCTGAAATGTGGGCTTCTCAGAGCTCCTGGCTCACTCACCCCATCATGATAGAGGCCACTAGTCCTTGATAGACCCTGAGACTTTCTGCTGGGATGCCCGTGGCCATGTTTATAACTGGAGCCTATCTTTCTGTTTTTTAGCCAATGCTGGTGACCTTGGCCAAGCTGGCCGGCCTCTGCTTCCTTATTTACAAAGGGGGGGCGGATTATAGCACTACTTCGGGGGCTCCAGGGACTCAGAAAAATTAAATGAGATTCTATCAACAAAATAGTTAGAACTTTGCCTGGCAAATACAAATGAAAAACAACAGCATGCTTGTATTCCACAACAGTGTGAGTGTTCTGAGTACTGATGAAGAATACACTAAAAAAATGGCTGGGGTGAGCCAGGTCCAGGAGCACACATCTGCAGTCTCAGCCATGAGGGGCTGAGGCAGGACACTTGTGAGTCTGAGGCCAGCCTGGGCTACAAAGCAAGACCTTATCTCAAAAACTAAACCAAGCTGAGCATAGTAGTCTATATGCGTGTAATCCCAGCTACTAAGGGCACTGACTGCCCCTCAGGAGGACCTGGCTTTTTCCCAGCACCTACATGGCAGCTCACACCGGAGTATGTAACTCCAGTTTCAGGGGATTCGGCGCCCTCTTCTGGCCTCTATGGGTACTGCATGCACACGGTGCACAGACATACATGGAGGCAAAACATCAGTGCACATAAACATAACAAAACAAATTAGAAACTGCATAATTAATTTTTAAAAAAGTGAAACAGGAGGGTGACAAATCGAAGGCAACTTAGTGAGACCCTGTTTTAAAATAGATTAGAATTTAAAAAATGGGATTGGGAATTCAGTTTCGTGATGGAGCCCTTGCCTTGCATACATAGAAAAGGCCTTGTCAATACCCAGTACCAGAAAAACACTTAAAATGGTAGATTTTATGTTCTATGTCACAATTTTACAAATGCTTATTCCAGGGAGACCTCGTGGCCGCTGGAACCTGCTGCACAGCAGCTATCCTGGAGGGACAGGCTGGAGACCCCAGATGCGTCCCTTTGTCCTGACTAAGCAGAGTGTGACATGGTGCTGATTACAAAACAGAAATATCAGTCTATGTTGGTGACAACAAGTTATTTCTCTTCCTTGGTAGCTCCCAGAGTCCCTGGCTGCTCCATAAACCAGATAGGAACTCTCCAAAAGTTTGAGTTTTATTGGACAGCTCTATTGGCCAATCTGCTGGAGCCTGTGTGGCTCCTCCTGGTGTCTTCCTCATTGGCCCAAGAGGTACCAGGTTCTTGGAACACCCTTCGTCCTGGGAGACCCCCTGCTGGGTTGCTGTCCTCCACAGGTCCCTAGCCATGGGTCGTCACTTACCCTGGGTGGCCGCCTCCTCCTCCTCCTCTTCCTACTCTCGCTCCCTGTCCCCCCAGGCTGGGGAGCGAGGTTGGGGAGAGGGCAGCTGCGTTCAGTCTGCAAAGGCTGGGCACGGCCTGGGCCGGCCCCCAGGGCAGGAAGGGTGGGGTGTGAGGCACGGAGGAAGGCAATGGGATGAAGTAGGGAGGAGATGAGGTGGGAAGTGAGAGAATAGAGCTCAAACCTGTAGGCCTGCCAGCCGTGAGGGAGAAAGAGAGGGTTAACATTGGTTAGTTCAGGGTGCAGTGAGGGGCTCGGGGTAGGGCATGGGTGGGAAGAGGCTGTGGGACTCAGAGCTGGCCAGGGCAAGAGGGGCTAGGATGGAGAGAAAAAGAGGTAGAGGGGAAGAAAATGGAGTGAGAACCCAGCTGGAGTCGAAAGGGTCTGAGGATCTGGGAAGAACGGGTAGGAAAGCTGAGCAAGGGGGCTGCAGCCACGAGGAAGATGGACAGAGAAGACACTGGAAAGAGAAAAAATAGAGAAAGAGAATCAGTGGGAGGCAGCGGGAATGGGGTGGGGGAACAAGGAAAAGATGGGGAGACACTACCCAGGGAGGCTGGGCCAGGGTGGCTCTCCAGGGTCTTCACTGACCAGCTGGGAACCCCTTTGACCTGGCCTAGGCTACCACACAATTGTACCAACTTCTCCCGGGGATCATGGGCTATTTTTTCTTCTCTTTTAGGTCACAAATGCAGACAAGATTAATCCTACTCTGGTTCCTGTCTGGTTACTGCCTGCTATGACTTTTGGCATTTAATTTTGTATGCACCTTCTTCCCCCATTCTCTCTTGCCTCTCTCCGTGTGTGTGTGTGTGTGTGTGTGTGTGTGTGTGTGTGTGTGTGTGTG